AGGGCGTGCGCGCGTGCACACACACACACACACACACACACACACACACACACACACACACACCCCTGGACCCAGCACCTTCCCTTTGGCCACACTACCTAGGCAGGCTTCGGAGAGGAAGAGAAGGAAGAGAGGCAGGACTCCGGGAGCTCCTGGACCCCCTGACATCTCCCGGTCAGTCGGTTAGTCGTCTGGGTTGCAGTAGCCCTGAGGTACCAGATTCCACCCCAAAATCCACCTCACTTCCTGTTCGGCCCCACGGAGATGAGCTCCAGTGGCCTTTATCTGCCATGCGTTTCAGGCCCTGAGTTGAGAGGAACTGCCCTGCACCTGCACTGGCCACAATTCCCTTGAGTCTCTCGGGCTTGGGTGGGGAAGGGGCTGGTTCAACGCCTACTGAAGAGGGACCCTTGCAGGCCTCTGCTGCAGGCAGGCTATACAGTCTGTGGTGGAGTGGACTCAGCGGAGGGGTGTGGTGGCTCATGCCAGTCATCCCAGCATTTGGGAGGCTGAGATTGGAGAGTAACGAACCAAGAGGCTAGCCTGGGCTACATAAGAAACAGGCAGATGCCAAGTGGAATTCTGTGAGTTCGAGGACAGCCTGATCTGCAAAGCGAGCTCCAAGACAGGCAGGACGACGCAGAGAAACCCTGTCTCAAAAACAAAAACAAAACAAAGAAACAGGCAGATGGGGTTGGGGTGTGGGTAACAGGGAGTTCACTGGCCAGCCAGTTTAGCCAGTATATTGAGCTCCCTGTTTCCATTTTGTTTTAAAGGTGAGGAACTGGATGGTTCATTGGTTAAGGGCACTCATTTCTCTTGTCAAGGAGCTAGGTTTAATTCCTAGCACCCACATGGTGGCTCACAATCAGACATATAAACACTAAATGAACCTAAAAAAAACCAAAAAACAAAAAACGGGCCGGGTGTTGGTGGCACATGCCTTTAATCCCAGCACTCGGGAGGCAGAGGCAGGTGGATTTCTGTGAGTTCGAGGCCAGCCTGGTCTACAAGAGCGAGTGCCAGGACAGCCTCCAAAGCCACAGGGAAACCCTGTCTTGAAAAACCAAAAAAAAAAAAAAAAAAAAAAAAAAGAAAAAGAAAACATGAGACAGGTAAGGTGGCCTACTCCTGTATGTAATCTCCAGATAACCTGTGTTTGCTCTAGCACCTACATGGCAGCTCGCAGCCAGCTCTAATTCCAGGTCCAAAGGATAGGACACCCTTTTCTTTCTTTCTTTCTTTTCTCTCTCTCTCTCTCTCTCTCTCTTTTTTTTTTTTTTTTTTT